AATTTGTTCGCAAAGACCCACTATTAATTCACCAATTATTTTATTCCTTTAGGCTATATAAATAGTTACACAAAATTTAAAAAAATTTCAAGCAGAAGATCTCAAAATTTTTTGCTGTATTAACGCAGATTTGGTTGAGCGGATTCAGTTTAAAATTCTATTGGAATGAAATTTACACATTTGCGCGTTTATCATCAAAACTTGGTTGATAAACCTTTTTTTAAATTCGTATATAGTTTTTGGTTACTATAATATTAGTTAAATTTGTTTCACCAGAAAACTTAAATCTGGATAAAGCTCTAAAATTTAAAATAGTCATTTTGTGTTCAATATTTCATTTGTATGCCTTGACTTAATGCAGTTTAATATAAGATTGTTAAAAAAGTAAATCTAATTTATTTCCTGATAGTTATTATAAAACAGCAACTAAATATTATTTTCTTCTAAAAACTGGCATGATAAGGAAATGTCATACAATTTTTTTTATCATTATTATATTTAACCATTTTAGTTTTAAAACTTTATTAAATAGTAAAAACCAAAATCAAAAACGTAATTAAACAAGAAAATAATATTAATAAGGGATTATGAATGGTTAATATCGTTGAATAGAGTCACATAGAGAAAAATTATGGTATTGGTAATAACAATTCGGATAAAAAAAAAAACAAAAAAAACTATAATTCTAGTTTATAAAACCAAAACATTTACATAGATAAACTGTGCATATGATAATTTTTCCGTTAATATAGAAGCCGTTTACCAGAAATTCTAAATTTCAAACTTCTTATTACTTCACTTATAGTTCTTATTTCTAGACATTAAGAAACAATTCCTAACTGAAAAGTAAATTTAAACAAATAAATGAGTTTTTATGGCATAATCTAAGGTATCATGATAAAATTATCAAATTTTACCACATTTACCAAATTTTATCAATATTACAAAACTATATTTTATCGTTATTTTACAAGGATCGTTACCAAAGAGCTTTGGTAAAAATTACTGAACTTTTTAGTGTTCTCATACAGGTACAAACACGATAAAATTTATTACATTCAGGTAGTTTTGATCTTTTATTTTCTCAGTGTTCTTATTAAAAGATATCAGGAAAAAATTGCCGAATCTTACAACATATATCAAATTTTATCTCACATTATAAAACAATATTTTATCGTTAATTTTGCCTCAATAATCATCAAAGCGCATCGGCTAGAGTTATCAAACTTTTTCTGGTGTTCCCATAGGACCAGAAACATAATCAATTTGATCATATTCTGAGTGTTTCTATTATAATATTTTCCCAGTGGAAAAATATATATTTTACAAGTAAACACTGTCAAAATTTCTAACAATTTTCTGCTAATGAAAGACCTAGTATCTGTACATAATTTGTGCAATTAAGATCATAAGATCTTTAAGATTTTTTTTACCCAATGACATTGCTTGAAATAGAAATATGACAAGTATCTTTCTCTGATGCATAAGAAAATCATAATTACTTTATTTATCTATAGATATTTATCAGAAACTTTATGTGCTAACTCTAAATCAAAAATTCGGTTTTTGCAATTTTAATAAAATGAGCAGTCATGAATGCATAGAATTTTGTTGCTAAATCAGTGCTGAAAGTTTAGGAAACTTAGTTACATAATGTTTCTAGTGACGACCTTAAGATCGTGTCTCTTAGGGGATCACATCTTCTCTGTTTCTTCGAAAGAAAGCAAAACTCTTGAGCCGTGGGAAAGAAATAAGGAGAAAAAAGAAAGGTAAAAATACTACCATTTAAGGAATGTGCATATTGTGACGATATACAGCATTTAACTAGGCCCGAAGAACAATGGTTTTTGTACGGTAGATGTTATTTAGTTTAAAAAAATCCAATGTAAGAAATCCAACGCAAAAATTCAAAAATCGATATCTGTGCTTTGAAAAAAGAAGTATGTTTAAAACTACCAGAATACATTTTTGAATTTTATTTTTTACAAGCGTCTTTAAAGTACATCTTAACTCTAACTAAACTATTTTTTGCTAATTAAATTTGGTTTCCTTTACTTTTAAACTTTAAACACTTCAAACTTTAAACAATTTTTAAAGTTTAGCTGTAAATTAGTTTGTTTCCCATTAATTTTTGAAATTTTTAAAAGTTTATAAATTTTTTTAATTTACAGTACAATTTTGATTCTTGTAAAAATATGTAAATGTATTTAATGATTTTTAAAATACACTTAAGTGGGGAGAGAAAAATACTATTTTTGATCTAAGTATTCCACAAATTATATCTTTCATATTCAAATTATTTTACTGAAATAGCTGAATTTGTGCAGAAGTTGAAAGTTAGTTATAGTATTCATAATAAAGTGTGAAGGCTGTGTTTGCATTTAATTTAATATAGGCTTTTATGCATTAAAAATAGTTTTACTTTCAAACTATAAAGCAGGAGTTCTCCATTTTTTCCAAATAGCATTACTTTTACGAGATTTAAAATCATCTTACGGCTGTTTGTGTATTTGTCTGGGGTATTATGTTTAACATACACAAATATAATCCGTGTTTTATGGAAGTAAGTAGTAAGAATACAAACATACACAGAAAGAAAAGTATGGTCAAAACTACTAGCATATGGTAAAATTTACCGAGTTTCTGGCTGTGTGGGGACACCTAAAAGCGCAGTAGCTTTTACCGAAGTTCTTTGGTAATGATTTTGAAGAAATTAACAATAAAATATTGCTTTTTATTACGTTTAAAAATTTGGTAAAGGCAATAAAATTTTAAAATAGCTTAGAGAAAGGCATAAAGTTTACTTGTCAGTTTTGTATTTTTACTAAATGTGTAGTATTAAGAACTATAGTACTGAAAACCAGAATCTCCAGTTAATTAGTACCACTTAAACGGAAGTTTTTAAATTTTTATTTCTTGGCAAATATATTGTTTCTATAGGAAAATTACTGGAGAGAGCTCTAAATTTTAAATTATTTTTAGTTGTTATCTACCCTTAGAAAAATATATATAATCAAAACTACCTGATTATGGTACACTTTGCAGTATTTCCTGTTGCATGGAAACACTTAAATACAAGGTAATTTTTAACGAAGTAATCTGATAATAATTTTTATAAAAACATAGTTTTATAACATATGATGAAATTTGGTAAATGAGGTAAAATTCGGTAATTTTACTGTGATATATTAGATCATGGCATAAAAGTATTCATTCTTTTAAATTTACTTTTCAGTTATGTATTTTTTCTGTATGAATGGTAATAAAAACTTTAATTTACTAGAAAATTTACTAGAATTGTTTCTTAATTTATTAAAACTTTCTTTTTCCAATCATTCACGGAAAAAAAATTCTAGTAAAATTACTGCTCTGTATGGTGATCAAATTTTTGGTAAAAAAAATACCATAGTTCTGGTAAATAAAACAAAATATACGGTATTTAAAAAATTCATTGGGTAATTTTTTCGCTCATATGTTAACGCTTTACTGAAAATTCTAGTTTTAAAAATTATTGTTCGTATCATCACACATTTAGTAATAAATGCAAAAATTAAAAGTAAATTTTAGGAATAAATTATTTTTATGTCATGCTCCAAGATATAATGATAAATACCGAGTTTTTTTCCCATTAACCAAATTTTATCACACATTATAAAACCATATTTTATTATTATTTTACAAAAATAAGTACCAAAGCTCTGCGATAAATATTACTCAGCATTTTGTTGTTTCAATACAGCCAGAAAAGCGTTTCTCTGAGAGTTTTGGCCATACTCTTTTTCTCAGTGTAAGTTCAATACATTTGTTCATAATTATTAGTCTTTATTATTGTGTGCAAAATTTATTTTGCACAGAATAAAACTTTATACTCAGTATTGTAAACTAACTTAATCATATAAAAAGTTTTTTAATACGAAACTTAAATCATATTAAAATAAAATGTCTTATAACTTCGGAGGAAACCATAGAATAATTATAATTGTTCTATGGTTTCCTCCGAGCTACATTACGGGCTTTGCAAGTTTTGACAGTTGTAAACAAAGATAAAAATATCATGAAACACAACATGTAAAACGCATGCGTATATAACTAAATTTATATATTGGTATGGGTAGTAATAATTAGTTCTTAAGTAGCGCATTTCTTAATGTGCTTAAGGTTATATATTAAATTATGGAGAATTAAATATTATTTTTCTTATGGAATTTAATAAATAATTAAAAACGAAAAACCCCTTTTATGATATAATGTACATGGTAATAAAATATAAGTTAGAAGCTCTGTTGTTGTGAAGTTACTTTAAGAACATTTGAAACTTTATTATTCAATAGAACTTTAAATTCGATAATAATCATTTCTTACATATGCCTTTATTCAGTTAAGTAAGAAAACAATAATGCAATATAAAACTTAAAGCTAAAAAGTTAAATTACTAGACGAGCAGGTTGCTCAGAGTTCTTTGTAATTTTATAATAATAAATTTTAAATTTTTTAAACTATTTTTTGTACAATTTTGCTTGATAGAATAAATCAATGCGATAATTCGAATTTTATACAGAAAACTAATCACCGTAAATTATTATAACGGAATAAAATGAACTCATTTCAAAAATAAGAAAACTGCAATATAATTCACGATGTAGATATTATTAGGAATATATTTAGAAATTAATTCAGAAGACTAGAGCTCTTAAATGAAAATTTAAAGAACAGAATTTATATATATATATATNCCATCCTAAGATTTTGATGGTTTTAACCAATTTCTGATGGTTTCAAACAGTATCTAACGCTCATTAAAAAGAAAAATTTTACAACACGTCAAAATCATAAGCTTAATATTCTTTTTTAAACAAAAAATTTAAATAAAATTAAAAATTATAAGTAAAATAAAAAAAAATGCGTGAATGTTAATAATACCTTCCCGGCAATTTCAAAGTCTCAGGCCAACATCTCAAAATAAAAGCCAAATAAAGACATGTAATAAGGCAAGTACTTACCTTAGAAGGCGAGTTACCCATGTTGAGTATTTTAAGGCATGTTCCCAAATCCTTTACGTTCCATCATAACAAAACACTGTCATAATTCCTTTAGCGAACAATATATATCCTAAGACACATTCACACACCAGAGAGCATCATTTACTGGGGTAGAATTTTCGAAGAAGCTCAAGAGAGGGATTTTATGCAAGGATGCTGGGGAGCACCTAATATTCACTGCCCGTGACACTCGTGAGGAGTGTTGGGAGACTTATGATGTAAAATGTTCTATGAACGGGAGGGTCGAGGAGTAAGAACGCCATCTAGGCATCCACCGTTGCCATAGAACTTTTCAGATGGGTGGAGGTAAGGTCAGATAAGGGGGGTAGACAGAGTTCACTCACTTGACACAGATGGAATAAATAGATGTCACTTCAAAGAAGATTTTGTGACTTAGAAGACTGCTTTTATGAATGGGTTTGGGAGAAGGAAAATAGAGATAATCGTGCGCGTTTACGAATTTCGGTGAAGAGTAAAGAATTTATGAATTAAAAGTCAATTCTAATTATGTAAGCAAAATATGGTAAACATTGAGATTAATGTTCGAATGTTTTAATAAATATTTCGTTCAATGAATTCATTCTAAGTATAAATAAATGAATTAATTACTTTCAATTTTCATATTACTGTCATGCATAATCTATGCTATCAGTTTCACTTTTGAAAAAGAAGATTGAAAATAAATATTAGTTTATAAAATCTTACAAAAATTTGTTCAGGGCTAAACATGTCATTAAACTTAAATACGGGGTCAAATTTGCTGTAACCTTAGAAACTCGTTAAATTGAATCACGTTTTCGTAAGTTGAACAACAATATTAAGAAGTCAAGTTTAAGAACTAAGATATCATTAAATTTAGCATTGCCTGTAATTTCATTGATGTGTGTTTTAACTTTGACAAAACAAAATTAGTTCATAACTCTCTAAAAAATAAGTACAACGTTGAACGATAATACCAAATACGGTGTAAATTTTATACCTCAATAAGGTTTAAAATTTAGACATGTTTTCATTCAAGGTAAATCATAGTTCCATGCAATACAAAAAGATAAATCCGTGAAAAAAATATACTATTACAAATAAATTTATTGCCTGCATGCGCAAACATAGTAGATCATTTACCACAGTTCCTTAGCTCTATGAAATTGACAAAAAGTAGCCATTTGCGATCAGTCCCTACTTTAAGCATCACTTTTAAAATCTGGAATGAATTGACTGACAGATGCTCACAGATTGCCATTTTGTAACATTATTGCTTAAGTGACAAGCAATGATAATTAGCGAAAAACTAGCAGATCTTTTTGGTCTCACCAATTACATTTAAGCCTATCACCTTTTACAATTGATAAGTTTGATTAATACCATTTATAGATATATTTTAATATATATTTTTCATTTTAATATATTTTAACATATTTTTAATAATATATTTGAATTTATTTTTTACATATTATTATAAAAGAATTCAATATTTTTTAAATATATTAATAAAAATATATTTTAATATATTTTTCTATATTAACATATATCTTTTTATTCTAATATATGATTTAATGTATTTTTGCTTAAATATTTTGCCACGTTATTTATCGTCTATTCCTTATTGAAGATGCTACTAAAAATAATAATAAAACTTAGGTCAGAACTTTGAAAAAATTCTTTGTCTGTTTAAAAATTTTTTAGTGTTTAAGTGATGAAATTTAATTAGCACACAATAACCAAGTCTCAAATTAGGTTGTGTGAGGACAAATGTGAGAAAACAGACGCCTTTTATTGACCTTAGATTGAGTATAGATGATGTTTGGAAATACTCCCTTTGTTGAGTTATAAATTTCTTTATTGAAATATTTTATTTTTAGTCAAAAACGAGTCAATACTTTATTTTATATATTCGTTTCTGTCACGAAATCGTCTATAAAAAGTCACGGACTAAGACCATGACCTAAAAGCCATGGACTAAAAGCCCTGAACTTTTAAAAATTAGAGCTTCCGTATTTAACAGAAAATCAGACAGATTGTCTCCTTTAATACTATTTTGGTACTACCGCATTAAAGGACAGCTTTGCTAACTTTAGCTATTAAAACGTCTTCTTTCTTTTTTTTTAGATAACACCTCAGTGCTTTTGAATTACAAATTTGTCATCTTCCTAACAGTTTACACCTACTACGTGTACTTTTGGTACATTAATACTGAGTATTATAATTATTGTTATGTTTTAATCGTAATTTATTTTAAAAATAATGTATTACATTTGGAACCTTTCTCCTATATCAAAAACTCTTCTTCTAAATATAATTTTAAAAGAAAAGTTAAATTTCTTTCTCGAATTTGATTGATTCTTTCTTAACTTCTTTTTTGCAGAACAGTAGGAGTAATATTTGACGAAAATCTAAATTTTCGATTTCCTTTTTCTATTTATTTATTTTTAATTTAAGAAATTAAAACATAAGAAGTATGTACTCGAATACTTTTTCTTTCTATGTGGTCTAATGGAGGACAAATAAAGTTCCTAAAAACAAAATTATATGAACAAACATATTAAAGTCTTACTTTCCATTGGTCACAAAAACTTGAGTTAGACAATTTATAACATATGCTGGATTGAAACATTTTTCAAATGTTTTATAAAAAATAAAAAATGTCAGCATTTTAATAACTCAGTATTCATATTCTAGGTTATATTTCTGATGATACTAAAGAATCAAACGCAACTCCCATTCCTTTATTCTAAAATTTAGTAATTTTTCATTTCAAGCCCTTCATATTTGCTTCAGTTAGTCTTCGCCAATTTCCAAAACAATAACGTCGAAGCCTGAATATTTCAGGATTGATTAGATTATACCAGCTTAATTAAAATATTTTTAACTAGGAGGCTTCGCCCCCTGCTCGCTGGTGCTCGCCAACCCACGGAACTGCTTTCGCAGTTCATTTCGGATTGCTTCGCAATCCGATACTCCTTTTACTCGCTCATTGGATACGTTCTTAACGTCTAGCTTTTGTATACTTTTTTGAACACTGAAGTTCCNTTATTATAGGATAGCACTAGGGAACAAATTTTTTCTTGTTTTCTGTTGTATGAGATTTTTTAATAGATCTTAGATATTTTTGTATCCTCGATTTTAAATATATTCCGCTTCTCCCTCCAAGATACGGGTTTCTTAAGAAATTTACATTTTTTGTCTATTTTTCCCAGAAATGTAAAAGTTTAAAAACATTACACATAACAACTGGTCGCTTAAATATTGCGACAAAATTCTAGGGGAGTTAGACCAAATCATCAGAATTAAAATTGCATAAGAACCAATACTGGTAAATTACAACGTACGCCGCTAGGAGCGCTTCCCCTATTATGAACCGTTTCGTCGTGTTTTTGAGTCGTGTCAGAATAGGAAAGCACCCCTAGCTACTTATAACATTTTCAGACATGAGTTCCTATGCAGTTTTAATCCTAATGGTGCGCCCTACGTACCCTGGAATTTTTTTTGACAATTTATGCGGCACCCTGTTATATATAACATTTCTTAAATTATACATTTCGACAAAAAAATAGACTAAAAATAAATCTATAAATTTAAGAGCAAAACTAATTTCAGAATTACAATCCCCACACCAGAATTAGGCAAGATCTAGTATTTATATAAACGACAACCAAACATTTTCCCTGGTTTTTTCATCAAGACTTTGTTCAAAAATGCTTCCTAATCTATTTTATAAGTTTACTTTGTTGTAAACAAACAGTAAACAACGAAATTGACGAGTTAATCTTTTATGTTCGCAAAGCCTTATGCATTCGGACAATCTTTAACTCTTGAACCTTTTTTTTTACGAATTAGATAAACAAAGTGAACGAATAAAACCTAAGTGATGTTAAGTAGAAGCTAGAGTTGATCTACCCATTGGGGATCGTTAGTCGTTCTTAAAACTTGTTAGCAGAGGCATTCAACAATCAAATAACTTTTCTGGGTTAGCGATTTTTCTCTTTTCGAACAAAACACGGGAATCGGAGATCGATGGAATCGACCGAATAAGCAACAGGTCTCAATGCTTGTTTACCCTGCCTCGATAAGAAAGAAAATAAAAATCGCATATTTTGTGGCACTGCAGCATTTTATTATTCTATTTATTAATTACCATCGATTCAATTAAACTATGTTTTAAAAGTTATTTAAATTAAAATGAATTAAATACCGTATGCCACAGTAAAAAAAAAATAATGATAGTAATTTGTCAAATAAATACGGTATTTTTCTATTTTACTTTAACACCGGGATTTAAACAACCTATTTACATCTACCAAAGTTCAACTCCATAGCTTTTTTTTTTATAACCGTCGTTGAAGAGCCGACCTAATTTTGGGTTTACGACTGCTAATGTTCCTTATCCTAGTAATTTCGTTGCCTAGTAATTTTGAACCAATCCGGAAGACAAGGAAACACCTGGATCAGCACCCCCAGAAGTATGATATGTTATGGGAACTTGGAGGACTTTGTGACCCGACAGATTTAACGTGCATCAGTCACCATTTACTACGCGGGGAGTCTTCGGCCGGCGTGGATCAAACCCATGACCGCTTGGACATGGGCCCAGTGCCCTACCAACCAGGCTATCCCGGCTCTACTCTTGAGCCGTGGTTGCTCAGTCAATAGAGAACTCGTAATAAGATGAACCGGGCTCGATTCCCAGTGATTGCTAGACGATACGAATTCTGTATCCAGCTCGTACCAACCACTGCCCTGACGTTCATATATATATTCTCAGTGGTGAGCAGATCATGATTTTCAGCCCCTTTGCCGACATGATACCTGCGAAAGATTTTAGTTGTTTTCCTCTCCGTGTAACGCAAATGCGGGTAAGTTCCTTCAAGATTTCATCCATGAAGTTATATTTCTCCCAATACTTAATCCAGTAGTTCTCTTGTCTTCCGGATTGGGTTTAAAATTACAAGGTTATGGTGTTGAACATTGGTAGTCGTACACTCAAAATGGGGTCCGCTGTTCAGTGACGGTTATAAAACAAAATTTAAAAAAACAAAAACAATTTCGCTAAGTAAATATTTGTCTGCACTTTCGTATAAAGGCCTGTTCTATTAACAAATCAACCCATCTATTCTATTGCCTGTTCTTATCATAATTTAACCTGTTCTATTAAGTATTATTCTTTGATTTTACCTGAATGAGGAAGAAAATATCAGTCCCTATATAGGTGTGACAATTGGCGTCCTTTGATCAT